ATCCACAAGGGCTGTGACGAGGATTCGAACCTGCGTCCGGGAGCATCCCAGACGCTGCCTTAATCGACTGAGCTACGACATGGTCAAAAAAAAAGAGTCGAAAAAATAAGAGTTTAATATAATTTACATTTATATTACGTCTGTCTCTTAAGTGTAGGCGATGTACATAGTGGGGTATACCCCACATAGTATATACACACACCCGGGGTATACCCTACTTAGTATACACACACCCGGGGTATATATTAGTGAAATATTGTGTATCCCGCCTCTCAGTACATACACACTGAGGTGACTTCCCGCCAAACACACACCGAAACTACGACGTTGGTACAACGTTCGAACAAGTTTTAACACTTCCTAACCAGTTATAACAACCAATATAGCAAGTTGTAACAACGTTCTAATACGTCATAAACACGTTAAGCCAAGATGTAACAACTTTATTACAAGTTGTAACAAGCGGAAAATAGAGACAGTTTCGGTTTGTGTTTCCAGGGTTTAGTCATGGACTAAATTGTTGAGGAAAAAGTATACTTCCTTGCAGGTATGTGATATATTATGTTGGTCTTACCCTCTACTTAAAAGGGACCCGACTTCTCGCCAACTGTTACCATTGCAGGACTCTGAGATGTGACCCACGCTGTTGCAGAGATTCTGAGTTCAGGTGCAAGTTGAAGCCTTACTTCTGCCTGCTCTGTTGCACTCTCGTCTAAATTCTTGCTTTGGCCTATGGATGTTTGGACGGAGGAATTGAGAGAGAGAGAAACGGACACATACCCGGGCACGGCCTGGTTCCCACTCTAGTGTTATATATATATATATATATATATATATATATATATATATATATATATATATATATATATATATATATATATATATATATATATATGTCGTACCTAATAGCCAGAACGCACTTCTCAGCCTACTATTCAAGGCCCGATTTGCCTAATAAGCCAAGTTTTCATGAATTAATGTTTTTTCGTCTACCTAACCTACCTAACCTAACCTAACCTAGCTTTTTTGGCTACCTAACCTAACCTAACATATAAATATAGGTTAGGTTAGGTTAGGTAGGGTTGGTTAGGTTCGGTCATATATCTACGTTAATTTTAACTCCAATAAAAAAAAA